CGGGGCACGAACCCGCGTCTCCTGCATCGGCAGGCGGACTCTCAAGCACTGCGCCACCAGGGAAGCCCGAAAAGCTTTTCTTGATTGACCTTTTTATTTTCAAATTAATTAATTAATTAATTTATGACTGTGTTGGGTCTTCGTTTCTGTGCGAGGGCTTTCTCTAGTTGTGACAAGCGGGGGCCACTCTTCATCGCGGTGCGCGGGCCTCTCCTGTTGAGGAGCACAGGCTCCAGACGCGCAGGCTCAGCAATTGTGGCTCACGGGCCCAGTTGCTCCGCGGCATGCGGGATCCCCCCAGACCAGGGCTCGAACCCGTGTCCCCTGCATTGGCAGGCAGACTCTCAACCACTACGCCACCACGGAAGCCCTGACCTTTTTCTTTTTGACTATTCCATGGAGAAGGCAGGTGCAGGTGAAACAGGAAGGTTCTAGACATGTTTCTGTGGGTCACAGCTACGTGACTAACACTATTGTGACCGTGTGTTCTTTTTTCTTTGATGATTCAGAAGGCCCTTCAAGATCCTGCAAGTTCCCTAGGCTGTCGGTGTGCCTTCTGATACCTGTGGGCATTAGGTATCTTTGTATTGTCACTGCACCAGAGATTGAATAATAGTGAATTTCCATTAAGTGCATGTCTGAAACCTGGGAGTTTGTTTTAAAAGCACCATGAACCCTGAGAGCACCTCAAGAGAGTTCCAGAACCTGTGAGCCTCCTGGGAGGGACTGCACTCTGGAGAAGGGATGAAGACCCTCCTCCTGTCATGGCTAGCACGTTATCAGTCAGTCAATATGGTGAGACTGTGGTTCCTTTTAGCCTTGAAGTAATAAAGCTTCTGTTCTGTTCTGACTCCTGACCCTTTGGTTGTCATGCAGCATCCACCCTGTGGCTGCAGCTTTCCTTCCTCATCCCCAGAGTTTGGGGTGGAGGGGTGCACACCTTTTTTTTTTTTTTTCGGTAACTCAAACTGAATCAAGCAGCTAGAAATATTTTTTGCTTCCTTAATTAATTTTAAGGAGGGAGGCAACTGCTTCTCTTGGCAGTGTTAGCAGTGGTGAGGGTGGCACTGGATGAATATCCTGTAATATTTTTTGCCCACAACATCGAAGTGAAAAAGTCAGGTTATGGAGTTGATTAAGATACATGCCAGTGGGTTTGATGCCCACAAAGATTGTATCTCATGGGCAGTACCTCCACCCCTGAAAAAAAACTGTTGGGAAAAAGTTTCAGGGTTGAACTTTTCTGACTGGCCTCCGTGGAACGGGGGTGAGCATGAATTGACATGATTGTTAAAACTTCTCTTGCTCAGAAGATTTCATAAGATTGTGAGATTCTTGAGGACAGTAAGTGGTGGGCCTCGTGGCCTCATTTGGTCTGTTTTCTTAGTATCTACCAAGTGCCTGGCATATGGTCGGCTGTTCATTATTAACCCACTTAATCCTCACCACAAACCTATGTGGTGATTATGTAATTATCCTTATTTTACAGATGACAGAACTATTCAGTAGTGGAGCCCAGATCTGAACGGACTCCAGAACCCTTATTCTTAACCATGACACTGTCTGCTTCAAAAGATAGTTGGGCATCTAAGGAGGAAGAGAAAAGTCATTATTTGCTAAAATGGACACAGGGTCTTTCTTTGCTCTCTTGTCCAACAGCAGTGTTTCCAGGTATGCCCCTCTCCTTGCTTCTGAGTTTTCATTTACGGAAATCCAGACTCTATTGTACCTTTAAAGGCTGAATGAACGAATTACATATGATAATTCTTTTGTTCCCTGGGATATCATGGTTGCCAAGGTTTATATGTTTTGTTCTTGTAATGGAAAAAACCAGCCCAAAGATAGAAAAACCCTTTCCGCTCTCCCAAACGTAGGGCTTGATGCTTTGCTGACAGGTCATTCCTATAGTGTGCGTAAATGTTATGTGAAATCTATTAAAAAGAACTCTTTTTTTCTTGTAACAAATTATGTTGTTAAACCTGCGTCTACAGAGAAGTTGAACTACGCTTGTATTCATCTTCCTTTCAAAGCAGTTAAGTTTACCGCTGTTAACCACTTTTAGTATTGCAGATAAGGTTTAGCAACTATTGTCTGAATGTTGTCTACATTCCTCTTTTTTCTTTTTCTGTTTAAACAGCTTCTGAAATCAGTTCTACATATCAAACAAACATTTAGTTAATGTAAGCTAAAACCCTTTCATATGACTTGGTGTTCTCAGATTAGCTATTTGAGCCATTTTCACCATTGTTAAATCTTCACAAGTTGCTTTTGTTTGCCTCATGAAAGTTCAGTATGGATAAACAAACAAAAAAAAGTTCTTTGTGGTAACAGGTGAAGCTTATAATAGCTCTGTGCCTGTATATGGAACATGATTACCTTAGCAAAGCCAACCTTACTCAACATTAAGCTGTGAAAGCTCTACATTTCTTTAGACGACAGAGGTAGAAAGAGCTTTGGGATGAATGAAGTTGTACTTTGATTGTAAAATTTGATTTTCAAGTTGGAGATGAGTGAAAGAAAATAGGAAACAATTTCTTATTCTTTCAAAACTTTACTCAGCCTCTCACCTACACATATTGGGATTATTTCAATTGCAGGAAGCAGAAAACTCAACCCGAATTAGTTAAGCAAAAAGGGCTTCAGGAATAGCTTGATCAAGAGTCAGTTGATGCCACCAGGACCCGGTTTTTAACTGTTCATCTTGCAGCTGCTTCCTACTGTGTTGCCTCCATTCTTCCCATTCTGCAAAATGTTTGAAGAATCCTCTTCCTGTATCTTTTGACAGTCTCAAGACTTATTCTGATTGAACATATGCCTGTTTCCCCCAAACCCAGTTATGTGACTAGGAGAAGTGTGGTGGGCTGATTGGCTCAGATTGGGTTGCACATTCCACTCCTGGTATAAGAGCTGGAGCTTTACCCAGACCACATGGACTGAGACTGGGGAAGGGAATGGATTATCAAATGAATAATGGGGTTTGGCTAGAATAGAATGATGCTAAGGAGGCAAATATTTGAAGTTTACCATAGTAGGTTCATAGTAGGAAGGAAAATAAATTATTAGTGTCTTTGCTGTTCTTTTTACCTATTGTCATTTGCCCTGACTGAACTGAAAGTGACAATTTAAATGGCTCCGTAGGTTTTATGCCACCATAATTAACTTTATATTGTTCAAGTTATCTGAGTTGATGTTACCACCAGCCCCTCCTGGCCCATGGGTAAATTCTTTGTTTATTTTAGATCTAAGAAACTTAAAATTGATATCTTCTAATATGTGGCTGTGTTTTGCTCTTAATACTAGTTCTTTAAGAAAGATATTTAATGAAAATATACTTTGTTTGATTATATCTTTCCCATCCTACACAGTGCAGGCTGCTGTAAACTTTAGGATCTCAGGATTTGTTGTTGATTGACTTATAGTTTCCTCATGTCCAAGTGACGAACCAACCAACAACCTGGGTTGTCTCAGTAAGCTTTTTTTTTTTTTTTTTTTTTTTTTTTTTTT